TTGTGGTTATCGTGATAGGTTTGGGAAGTGACATTTTTTTATGCCCAAGTATTATCCAGTTCAAGGAGGTTCATGTATGGATCCATCAGATAATCAAACAGGATATGGTTTAGCAGATGCTAGACTTCTGAAGTGGCCCGCACTATTTATAGAGCGAGTGCAAATGGAAAGATTATGTCGGAAAAATCAACTGAAGGTGCCAAAAGCACATTCTGTTGAGATCCAAAAGGAAGATCCTGATAATGTTGATCGACTATGTGAAAGACTACAATGTGAGATTTCTCAAATGCGCCGTAGGTTAGCCCGTGATATGCAGTTATACATAGTTAAGAACTATGAAGCACAGGTACGGGTACAGGTACTGGTACAATACGGGTACGTCGATACGGTAAAATTCAAAAAAAAAAGAGTACGGGTATGGGTTGGTACGTTTGTAAAAAAATATTTATTTTTAATTTAGAGTACTGCAAAAATTAATTAAATGGTTTAATTTGTTACGGTCCAACCTATAATTAACATTTAATGCCAAAAGGAAAAGTATAAATCAAAATTAAATGTTAATATATTAAACAACTTACAAACCATAGTTTAATTTTAAAATCATGCTAAGCATAAAACAAAAACTAAAAAAGAAATCTAGTGAAATGAGTTTTATCTCTGTAGTGGAAGGAAAATATTGTTTCAACTGAGGTACGGTACGGTATGGCTTGGATATATACTCGGTACGTTTGGGTACGTCAAAAATCAAGAAGAAAAACTTGGGTACGTGTTTCGTATACCCGGTACGTATGCAGAAGTACCATATGAGGTACGGTACGCCAGTAAGTACCCAGTACGGGTACGTCATGTTTTTCGAAGTACCCATGCTTCATAGGTTAAGAAGGATGCCCAGAAGAACAGAATAGAACCAAATGTTGCGGCTATCAAGGGTATCATGGAGGATCCTGAACTTGTCTCTGACGTTGAGTTTTCGGATTATTCAGACTCTGAGCCACTTGCCGATTTCAACGCGAATTAGGTGTTAATGTCTACACTTCGGCAATATTAGGTCATGCATTAATATGTAATGTCTGTGTTAGACTAAGTGTTATGTTTGTCTGTCAAACTGTTACGTTTATGTATTGTGTGTTCAGTTCAGGGTGTCTAGGATGTATGTATTGTGTGTTCAGTTCATGGTGGGAGACTTATGTCTGTACTACCTATGTAACTGAAAATTGTTACATTTGCAACTTCAGTTATGTTGTTTTCATGCTTGTATGAGTATTTAGTAAATTAGTGACTTCGTATATTATGTATTAAGTTTTATTACAAAAATGTTGACAAAATTTATTATAGGAGAAATACACATTCTCTTAACTTGTTCATCTTCTCAATCGTGAGAACCCAATAATGTAACCATTATTCATTGACAAAAGGAAAAAAAAATTTTTTTTTAATGAAAATGGCTAGAAAACAGTTTTACTAAACCGGTTTTCTGAATTACATTATCACCTTCTAACCCAAAACAAAGACAAAATAAAAAATACATATATATTAAATGAAAACGGCTTTAGTAAAGCCAAAATAAATTTCTAAATAGCACATTCTAACGCAAAACAAAGACAAAAGAAAAAAAATTAAAATTTAACATGAAAACGCCTTTAGTAAAGCCAAAAAAAATTTATGAATTACATTATCACTTCTAACCCAAAACAAAAAACAAAAAAAAATTTACATGAAAACGGCTTTAGTAAAGACAAAAAAAATTTCTGAATTACACCTTCTAACCCAAAACAAAGACAAAAGAAAAAAAAAATTAATGAATTACATTATCACCAAAACAATGACAACAGAAAAAAAAATTAACAAAATAAAAATAAAAATAAAAAATTTAAATGAACAGTGAAAGCGTGGTTTCAATCCACGCTTGTTGTAGTGAATAGTGAAAGCGTGGTTTCAATCCACGCTTCTTTTAGTGAACAGTGAAAGTGTAATTGTGAATCACGTTTTATTCAGAAAATGAATATGCACAGTGAAAGCGTGGTTCTAAACCACGCTTTCTTCAGAAAACAAATTAAACGACATACACAGTGAAAGCGTGGTTTGGAACCATGTTTTCTTCAAAAAAAAAATTATGTTAAAAGCGTGGTTTGCAACCACGCTTTCTTAATTAAAAGCGTGGTTTCTAATAGCGTTTTCACTGTTCATCAAATTTTCGGCCCCAAACAATGAAAGCGTTATTTGTAATAGCGCTTTAGCCTAGTTTGGGAATTCCGTCCAAACTAGGCCTAGTTTGGAAATTAAAATGATAAATTGGCTTAATATGGGAAAAGCCCCCATTTTTGGTGCTGCTTTGGAAGTTTTGAAGCAAAACCCCTCATGTTAATCAATAGTTTTTAGAGAGATAAAGTAGGAGGATGATGTTGGAGAGGGATAGACTCACAAGAGAAAGATACCGGGAGAGAGAGAAGAGAGAGACGCGCAAAAATGAAGTAGAGGAAAGACAACGCGACAGAGGAGAAGAAGGAGAGCAAAGCATAAGAGAATTGGAGAGTTTGTTGTTGGTGGTAGAAAGAAGTCTTACCACCGAATTTAAAACCTAACCCTCTGTTTGATTGCCTAGAAAAGTGGAATGAAAATGAAATTCCTAAATTAGTTAAATTAAGCCACAATAAATGTGATCTAAAAAAAAAAAAAAGGTTATCTCGAAACCAAATAAACAAAACCAGTAAATTTCAGTGTATATCTAGTTCTTATATTTTCTTAGAGACCAAACAAACAGCACAGAAGAGAACAGTAAATATATATCTATTACCACATGAACTTCCAAAAGATATGCTCTTCTTTCTCTCTAATTTTCGGACCAAAGCAAAAGAAGTAAAAGGGTATTGAAAATCTTTTGTTTGGTTGCTAAGAAAACAGGGAACAGAGAGAGAGAGAGAGAGAGAGAGAGAGAGAGATAGCAAAAAGAAACAGAGAATCAAATAACAAAACTGAAATTCAACGATCGTGTGGTGTGTGTAGTAGAGATTTAAGGAACAAAACACACACTTTTGTTTTTTCAGTTGGAGTGAATGGTAAGAGTTACGGAACTTCGGCGAATTTTCGGCGAGGCAAACTAATTTAGACAGAGAGACTAAAAGGTAGCTTTTACACACTCTGTTCTTTTACACACTCTGAAATTTGGCTACGTTTTTATGTTTATGTTTATTTTAAGGTATAACTGTCGTTAAAATAAAATTTTATTAAATGTGTATATTGAGATAAATTGATGTGTAAAAATAGAATTTTCTCGAATAATTTGTATTTTAAATAAATCTTAATAAGTATATTTGTAATTTACTCCCGTAATCATTGAATATTAGTATAGCTCATGTGAGACTCATTGCATTACTAGTTGTTGTGCAATATGTGAATGGTATTTAAAATGTGATAAAAAAAGATGAGAATTGCTGGTGTTCTTTTGGGGGGAAACTACACCTCAGTGTAGTTTTTCAAAAGAAAAATAAATAAATAAATTAAGAGTAATAATTGAGACCACAAAAATTTCACTCCCACAACTCCCACATTATTCTATGTGAGAGAGAGAGGAAAAAAAAACAAAAATCACATGGACCAATCACACACGCTTGGGGATAATGGGGTCTTCAAATTGGGGTCCCCAAATTGGGGTCCCAAGCTTTTTCCCATTCAAAAATGCTTGTGACCCCAAAGTTGGGGTCCCCATGACTTTCAAATTGATGTGGATCAATCATATTTATTTATTTTTGTTATTTTTTCTTTCCTTCTTGGATCAATCACATGTGAGTGGGGATTATATTTTTTGGGGGTATATAGCATTATTTTTTTTCCTTAGCTTGACCCTCTTTTTTTTTTTTTTAAGGAGACGATTCGTATTTTAATTAAACTTCATGAGATATATTTGTAATTTACCTATAATTATGTTGTGCTTGATGAGAATGTCTTTAAAATGTAATATAAAAATATAATAAGTGTAATATTATTTTAAAAAAAACAACAGTAATACATTATCCCATTGTCATAATTCATGTCAGTTCTTTGAAATTTCTGCCATCCAATTTAAGCCTAATGCATAATTCATAAATCCAAAGCTTTATGCCATCCAATTAAATCAAATTGGGGTCCCAAGCTTTTTCCCATTCAAAAATGCTTGTGACCCCAAAGTTGGGGACCCCCATGACTTTCAAATTGATGTGGACCAATCATATTTATTTATTATTGTTATTTTTTCTTTCCTTCTTGGATCAATCACATGTGAGTGGGGATTGTATTTTTTGGGGTATATAGCATTATTGTTTTCCCATTATTTTTTTTCCTTAGCTTGACCCTCTTTTTTTTTTTAAAGAGACAATTCGCATTTTAATTAAATTTCATGAGATATAGTTGTAATTTACCTATAATTATGTTGTGCTTGATGAGAATGTCTTTAAAATGTAATATAAAAATATAATAAGTGTAATATTATTTTAAAAAAAACAACAGTAATACATTATCCCATTGTCATAATTCATGTCAGTTCTTTGAAATTTCTGCCATCCAATTTAAGCCTAATGCATAATTCATAAATCCAAAGCTTTATGCCATCCAATTAAATTATAAAGAGTAAATTTCACTTTTTAATTGAATTTTACTTTAATCCTTCCCCTTTTGATTAAAACAAATAAGCGCTCAAGGGCCTTGTTCAAAATTTAGTGGAATTAAAACCTGACAAACAAAAGTAAAATTTTATGTAAAAATTAATGAGTGAATTTCACTCATTCATTTTTTCATAAATTTTTTTCTTTTTTCTTTTTGATGCCCTCTAAAACTTGCTCACATAGCCCTCATGCGAACACTTTTCTTCCAATTTTTTTAATAGTGAGTGATGAGAGGAGTACATTGAAACAAGAGTTGAATTATGAGAATTAATTGTTGCAACTAAATTCAATAAAAGATGACGGAAAAGAAAATTAAAAGGGGCCACCCTCTTCAATGGTTACATTCAAATGACTAGTGCAAAGTGATTACAAACAACAAAAAATTCTTGCAAATTCAAATCAAATGTATACTAAATTAATTTCCAGAGCAAATGGAAAAACACCCTGGAAAAAGAATACATTTCTGGAAGTTATTATACAAGAACAGAACACTTTCAGAGAGTATTTACAATATTTTTTTTGAGTGTCAAAATGTAATTCCCATGTAGAAAATATTAAGGGAAAAGAATTAGAATAAAGCGCAGTAACTAACAAAACTAGCAACAAGAAAAAAAAAAAAATACAAAAAATAAATGAATGGATCTCCTACTCAGAAAACAAAGCTTCCAGATAATCATCGATATAAGCTAGGCACGGCCAGTGATCGGTTCTAATTCGAACTAAAGTTGAAACATCACATACCTCCATTTGAAAAAGGAGATGGAACCTCGGTGGAAGGAAAATCAAAACGAGAAAAGAGCCCATGTTTTTCTTGCTAATGTGAACATGATTCTCTCTTTCGCCTTCGTCTTCAACGTATTTGAGATAAAGTGGGCCCTTACTGAAACTAGAACCTGAGATAGCATCATCGAGGGTAGAATCTGACGCCACATCATCCTTCCAGATAACGTCTTTGATGATTCCACAGTTCTTCACAATGTTGACAAGTGGTTCGCCAAGGACGCTGACAACAAAAGGTGCCAAGTGGTGCTCGATAGCTTGAATCAAAGAGGCCGCAGGAACCTGGAGCAGTTTGACTGATCGGGTCCCACTAATTGCAGCTACTCCTTTCCCTCCTTTCAGTGGGAAGGCCTCATGCCCGGTGTTGGTAGAAGAACCACATGCTTCCCATAGAGCATTGAACAAGTCTAGATAATAACTGGGTATTTCATCTTCTGGTATGTCGGATGAGATAATAGCCCTAAGAAACATGTCTTCTATGCCAATATTGATGCTCTGAAGCTGCCCGCGGATTATCTGTCCATTTTCTGTGTTTGCTTCAATGGAAACGTCAACAAGACCGGGAATAGGTTCACGTGGTTCCAATTCAATCGTCACAGTTGCTTTGAAGCTTTCTTCTTCTTCTCCAGAACCATCTTCTATAGGAACAATAGCTAATGAATCCCCAAGGCCCGAAGAATAATCTTTTATAGGGGGTTCACCGAGAAGGAAAGGTATGTGATTTGATGGAATAGACCCATATGGTGCTGAAGAAGAAAAACGGAGCACAGTTGCATAGAAGGCAGGAAGTGCATCTAGTCCATCCAAACCGTTAGCAGCCAAATCGATGCCCCATATGCGTTTGAACGGCTCAGATAAAAATCTCAAGCTACATGGTATCCTTATCTTGAGTCCTGGCATGTGTCTGAAATCAGGAATAGTGGAAAAATGCCGCCTCAACATTCCAATAATCTCTGATATCTTTGAATCCATCACACGTAACAGCTCGTGTGGATGATCTATTTTTTCTATTTCTGGGAAAATTTGGATATTAGTAGTGTCTTCATCAACCACACTTTGTTCAGCCAATGGTTCACTGTATCCAATGCCCTCTAGATAAGCTGGTTTGTCAACACCAATATTTAGAGTCGATAAAGACAAGGACCATGACTGTTTGACAAGAAGTGGTATCACCCGCTCAATGAAGATGTAGGATGAAATTGTCCTAGATTTTTTAAGATCGAAAGAGGGTTGAGGAGATTGCACACTGAAGTAAGAGCTTGACTGGGGAGATGGTGTTATACCGGGGAGTTGCTCCCCACTTTTCAGTATGTCCCTGAGCTTCTTTCCTGGAATACAGATCAACATCCGAAGGTAGATCCTGCAAAATGCCACATTTCTTAAGGACAAAATAAAGGATTTTCCAACCGAAAATATTTTCAACAAAAAACCTTTTATAGAAAATGTTTTCCAAAGAAAATGCCTTCCTATGTTTGGTTGCAATCTTGAAACTAATGTGCTAGTAGTTATGTTAGTGGTGGTTGAGGTGGGGCGGTGGTAGTGGAGGTGGTGGTGGGGTTGTCGGGTGACGACAATGGTTGTGGCAGTGGTGGGGTGGAGGTGGAGGTGGAGGTGGAGGTGGTGGTGGCAATAGTAGTTGTAGTAATGTGGTGGCATTAGTAAAATTTAAGTATGAAAAATGTTTTCCGGCTTTTAAAAGTGAAATTTTTTCTATCTGAATAAGCTTGATTTCAATCGACCACGGAAAACGTTTTTCATCTCCTTCCGTTTTTTGTCACACCAAAAGTCAGAACATATGAAAATGATTTCCAGAAAATATATTTTGCCAAAACAAACGGAGCGTTAATGATGGGTAATTTTTCTTCTCATGGGTCGTTTAAATCTTTATGCTTTTTGTGGTCAACTTCAATACCCCTTGAAACATAAAACTAGAAGGAACTAATAAAAACTCATAAACAATGCAAAAAGGACTCCCTTTTTGTACCTTGCATCATCACGAAGTTCCAGATCAGGAAAATAAAGGCAAGTGAAGGCAAGAAGACGAGATAGTCCAAGGAATAATCTAGAGCTATGATGGTGCATCAGCATGGTTCGACAAATGCCAAGAACTCTACTTCCTTGAGACCAAGATTTCAATCCAACATCTGGGCCATGCTTTTCAACAAGGAAAATCATGAACTGGATAAGCAGCTCTAGCAATCCACCAGGAGGAACCGTATCATTCTCGGCAATTCTATCAAAAATCGGGAAGTAAGATGATAATCGATAATCTATCTTGACTTTTGGAAGCAACTGCTCATCAAAGGTCTGAAGCAGGTGCTCTCCCAACCAGCAATGCTTATGACAGCCCAAAAAGCGGTCGAGCAAAGCAACAATAACTGGAACCAATCCCTTGAACTCTAATGTCAGTTCCACTAGTGTCCTCTGTGCAACAAAAGTAGGAAACACAAATATTACAGCAGAATTTATGACAACATTCACAGGAAACACCCCCGTGGGGCGAAGAAAGAAAGAAAGAAAGAAAAAACGGAAAAAGTATGAGTCCCATAGCTTAAACTATACTCTTAAGTACATACAAAAGGATGAGGTCACCGCCACCTTCCAACAGTAATGTTACAAACCAACCAACGAAGCTATATGCACAGAATCACTGTGTGGTTTAAATTTGTTTTAAACATGACTCACATAACACTAAGATGGATCTCAGCCACACTTCATACTTTCTGTGCATTTTGTGTGTTTTAATTTTGTGTAACTATCATTTCTCCAAAAAATATGTGCCACATACTCAGAAGAAAAGATTTAACAAAGTGTAGAAATGAGAAACAAGTAGCTCTAGTTACAACCATGGCTTTGAGCAAGGCCCCATAAACAAAAATAGAGTATTGCATACATATCTTCAATTACACCATGTAATTTCAGAAATTGCTTAATAGAAAAATAACGAATATTGACATTTTTTTAATCTAAAATTCCATGTCTATTAATAAATCTAGTTATCATATCTTTCCGCATATGGGGGTGGGGCCTTATTCACCTTTTCATTCTTCTTTTGAGTCACAAGATAGATTTCATTGTCCATATATATTTTTTTAATATAGTTTTTCTGATATTACAAGCATAAAATTAACAGATTAATGAAACATACTTTTTTTTTCCAAATGCCATTAATTCTATCAGAATCTAACAAATGCATTCATCTTCCGTTAAATAGGGTTGTTGCAAAACGTTCCAAATTCTCTAGGTTTGGAAAATTGGGATGATTTAAATTTTTTCATGCATTTAGCTTAATAAAGTATCTATATAACAAAGGAACATATACAACTTATAAAGTGAGAACTAGTTGGTAAGATGAACTGAATTAGGATCATATTCATGTAAACTTTTGATGTATTGATAATCATATGGACGGATTCATATAAGAAATTTAAAAAAATCAATAAAAAAGCAAATAGGAATCTAGAGAAATTACTTAAATAGAAAGCATCTTTTCTAAGTAAAAATACCTAAACAATATTTTACATTTATAAATAAAAATCGTAGAGAATGAAAAATGTAAATAAAACCAAATTCACAATGCACTTAGTTTTTGCACTTAGTTTAAGGTAGGTTTGATGTAATGTTTTTTTATAGATTGAATTTGTTCAAACTCGAACAATACAATTAATCTAATAAAGGAATACATTAAGCATCTATTCTTTTGGCTTGATTCTTTGCATTCCAAAATATTTCCATTATTAGTTCTTGGTGGTCTTAATTTGGAATTTTTATTTACAAACTTGCAATATAATAATAAATTTATGGATACTCAATATGTTAGAGAAATCATATAAATGAGGGTAAATTACACTAATCTCCCTTGAAGTTTGAAGAAAATATAAGTAGCCCCACAATTTTAATATAATTACATTGACCTCCCTTTTAGGAAGGCTAAAGTGATTGAAACTAATGCAAATAGTGTGAAGACACGAGGATAAACAAGAAAAAAATATACATTTCGGTGTAAAAAAGATGAAAACATCATTTTTCTATCCATATAACCAAGGAATTATTGATGAAAAGGGAGTAAGTGTTATGTGAATTAAAATCTTAAGGGAGCCTAATGTAATTATGCCAACATTGTGAGTTGCAAACTGTATTTTCTCTAAACATGTCCAATGTATTTTACCCTATAAGTCAATATCATTTTAAATTGGTCCACTTACCAATCGATTCTAATTTTTGCACTAACCATTCACAAAACAAAACAAAACAAAACAAAAAATGACACGTAACAAGTACTAAAAAGAATTTCGTATCTAATTAGAAATTCATGTTATTATAAAAGTCTTAATCAAACATAATTAATTTGTAGTGGAAATATGAGCAATGAATAATTGCTAAAACTTTAAGTTGGACACTACTGTGCATCAAATGCCAATGTCTAAATCCCATTGCTCATTGAAAAAAACAAAAAATCATTAAAGAAATATAACAAGTAGAGCTCATTTGATCTATGAAATAAAATTTACATATAATCTAAAACAATAATTAAAAATAATAATAGGTTAAGCTCACATATAACAATACAGGTTCTCATTTCAGCACAATACATTACCAACTCATAATAAACAAATACTTAACATCTATTGACATTGCTATCTTTCTCTCTCTAAGAGGTAGAGGCATGAAACAAAGTAATGTTGGAATACGTGTGAAGGTAGAGTCTTAAAAAAAACAACTCCCAATTAGTACACATTAATGTGTGTTTGGGAGGAAAAATATTGGGTACACACCTAACCTGTAGCATAGTGCACATTAATGTGTGATGGTAGAGTCTTACATCAGGAAAAAAGTAAAAAAGAGTGGGTCCTAGTGTACAATGGATGGACTCACCACTTATAGGGAAAAAGGTAAAAAGGAGGGGGTCCTAGTCTAAAAAGCAAGAACACTTCTAAGAAGGTAACGTATCCGGGTTGTATCCGTATCGGACACCGACACTCTTTGGACACTTCCCCGACACGTGTCCGATACTCTTAAAAAATGTGTCCTATTTTTTAAAGATCCGGACACTCTTTGGACACATGGAGGACACACATGTGTATCTCTTAAACACACGTGTCCATCGATTAGACACGTGTGAAACTAATTATAAGTTTGAACAAATACATGTGAAACTAATTTATAGGGATTAGTGTCATATTGCATTTTTTATTATCTTTAAATGATACATTCATATATATAACATATAATAAATATATAAAATTATATATTTCATGCGTGTCCCCCACATGTCGTGTCTTGCAGTTTTTGAAAATTAGCGTGTTGACGTGTCTCGTGTCGTGTCCCATGTCCGTGTTGTGTCCCGTGTCCATATCCATACTTCTTAGATCCTAGTAATGTTGGAATGTGTGTTGGCTTTAGAGTTTCTCCCAACAGATTGAATTGTTGCACATTCATGGGCTCCCCAATTATCCTAACAAGTAAAAGACTCTTACAATGTTGAAATCTCTTAATCAATTTTGTAACATACAAATGAAATAATTTGGGATCACAATTGAGCATATAACATATGCATCAATCTTACGTGATTATTTTCCTTCTTATAAAATTATTATATCCATCATCAAAATATTAGTTGTAAAGTAGTATTTTATTATTGATTAAAAAGATTTTTTTAATACACGAGCAACTAATTTTTTCCTTTTTAGGTACATCAAAGGTCATAGCTTGGGAAGAGGTTGGGGTCTTGTTGTGATCCTTGACCTCCTAATAAGACCCAGTGGTTCCGGTGCTAAACATATTACTTTAATAAATATTAACATTTCATTTTTGATATAATTACAACAACCTAAGAGGTAATTACAATTGGCATGAGTCTAGTAGTCATTATTATGTAACTAAGTTGTTACATAATTATACTCACTTCTTAAGATATTACCAAATGTCATCATCAAAAGAAATTCTAGCATATTATATGGGAATCCATCAAAGTAGTCATAATGATGTTTGTACTCAACAAAGTACAAACAGTGCACACAGATTCTCAAGAAAACAAAAATGGGATATTGGAATGCGAGAGGGAAACTAAAAGGAACAATGCACAAGCCACAAGAGCATGTCTAGGAACACTAGCAAAGCAGTGATTGGTGAGAACGCTTGCCAGGTGTCATATAGAAGGAGCATTCTAACAAGACAACAATACCCTGGGAATTCAGATGCTTATCAGGTATACCAAGCAACCATCAATATTTCTTTTCAGATAGTTGTTAATAATTTTATTGGGACCATTGCTACACATGTGGTATGTAAAGAAACTGCTGCATTCAGTACTTTGTAACAATCCCTCATTCAAACAAGCATCAGAATTTTAAAATCATTTGGCACAGAGTCACTTTGTTTGAGAAAAGCAACTTTTCCAATAAATGGTCAACTCAAAGAACGTCATGAAAAAGTTGTTAGTATTTGGAGAAAGGGTTCACTATTTTAAAGTAGTTATTTCGATTTGAAACATCTCAGTACCTCAGCAGCTTATTACACAATTACTTCAATTGGCCACCAAGGGGAAGTTAATTAAAAAATTGGCTACCGTTTCATTATTATAACTTCCTCACATGAATAGCAATACAGTCTATAATCTGAGGAGAACAAAATATAAAGATCAAAACTTTCCAGATTGGCTGGATTTCAAGGTGGGAGCCACTTGGGACCTCCCACAATCATGGTTTAGTAACTTTAGTTTGAATCTAGTCATATTTTCCGGAGTATTCGACCACGGGGGCTTCGGCATTACGAACGAAGTGGTTGTGGGTGAAGGCTTGGTTCGTTTGAAAGGTCGAGCGGCAGCCTAACTTAGAAAAGAAATCCTGTCCCTTGGTCTAGTTGTTCTGGCCTTGCCATCAAAAGCACGGTTTTAGAAATGCTTTAGTTACACTCGTTATGTGGAAAGCTTTGCCTTACCTGTGATTCTCCTTCGAATCTAGGTATTCAGGACATTCCAGTCCAAGTCAAATAAGCACCGGTAGCAGGCCGGGGAACACCTTGCCTTATCTTAGTAGGCTACCTAGGCCATGAGAATGAATATTTCGCATTGTTTGACTGGATAGCGATATTCTCCATGTGTTGAGGGAAAGGCATAGACTCATCTGGATACTGAGCCTTAAACGATCAAAGGGCTTACCTTTATATTGTAGATTAACTTGCTGGGTGCTCAATCTTACATGTGCCTGTTTATGACCTAGGAACCAAGAATATTTTGGTAATACAAATTTGTTAGCGAATTTGGAGACAGGGTGTTGTGGTAACTCTGGTGATTGTTTGAGTCAAATTATGTTAATAGACCTTTATATATTGTTGTCAGTTGGTTTAGATGGATCTTACAGTCAGTGCCCTATTTTTTTTATTTTATTTGGGGTCATAGTACTAATTATAGTTATCGACACAGGCAGAGGGAGGGGGTGACCAGCAGTGGCCCTCCCCCACCACCACCCTCGCCCCCGTCTCCAAAAAAAATATATTGAAAAGGCCCACAATTATGAGTATATGTTTGAAATTCCACTAAATAAAAATTGTTTATAGATTTTTCACTAGCTTGATGCTCTTTTGGGAATTGTGATGTCATATAAATTCATGGAGAGATTCCTAACAGATTGTAGGAGTAATTCCAACTTTCCAAGAGTTTCTTTTTTGTTTTTTCTCATTAATTTTATGCACTTTTAGAAGCCTAAACGGGATCTGGTTCACTCCTTTCATTAACTAAAACCCTATTTGACAAGTCCTAACCCTTCCCTCTTTGATTGATTCAAATCAAACACCTCAGAAGTCTAGAAAGAGCACCTCGTTACCATTCATGAACATTGTTCCAAACCCCAGATAGAAGAATAAGTTTTTTCTTTTCTTGCTATAAACAGAGGTTAGGTCTATACCCAATCTATCCTCTCCCATACCTCCATCAAATGGAGACTAAACTGGATGTACTTATTTTACTATAAACAAAAAGCTGTGCCTCTTTTCAAACCATTGCAAACCCTAAAGCTCCATACTATTTGCCAACCTTCAAGCCATTAAAAACTGAGTAGTAATTGGCTGTATAGGACCTATTGTATTTCAGTCCACCATCATTTCAAATCACAGTTTGCGGGAGGTTGTTTGTTACATCAAAGAGCTAACTCCATGGCCTATATAGAGCCTCTTCCAATGCTCTCTTAATACTAACCAACACAATAAAAGAGGGAACAAAACAAACGAAAGAAAACTAGAGTGTACCTGTAAAGTGGAAAAGATGGTGGATGCCATTAGAATTCTTGTGGAAGAAGGATCAGTGTCAGAATGAGAAGACGCACCGATCAAAAATTTGTGGAAGGTGCGGAATGCCACTGCAGTTTCAGTGCTCCACGGCGGTAACCATTTAAATGCCAATACAGAAACAAGACCATCTTCAAAAAGCTTCACCACAGATAATCCTAAACCGACATCCTGACTCTGGACACCTTCCTCATTTGCAGATGTAGACTCACCGAATAAAATTGAACAGTAAGCAAGCAAATCAAGCTTCAGTGATTTCAGAGAAAGGGGATCGAATACAGTTGGGTAAAAGCTCAAACCCATACCAAGAACTGCTTTCTTTTTCCCCACTTCTCCATTAGATAACAACCCAATGAAACCCAGTAACCAGTGAAGGGCAATCAATCGGAAAACCAAATATTGCTGGGCTTCTCTCGAGATTAAGATAAGGCGGCGGGCAATCTCACCCTCTTGCCCATTAAATGCATCTCGGAAATGCTTATACATCATTAAAAAAGCATGGCACATCAAAGGATCATAGGTATAAAGAAGGCCAGAGAACTGAACCTTCAACAGTGAACCCTGCAGCTCAAGAACCACCGCCACAGGCAAAATCATCGACATGAACTCCACCAACCCAAATGAAGTCAAAAACATTGGACAATCAAGCAAGAACGACAAAACCCTCCTCAACTCCTTATAGCTAGAACCCGAAATATCCTTACTAAACCCACCATTCCCTGATACCAAAAACGGAGGAACATTGAAAGGAACCAAAGGAATAGAGGAATTGAGAATTGAGACATTGGGTTTCAACATCACAATCCCATGAATCACCCTTGTCAACAAAAGCACATAGCTTTGTGAAGCATGAGTTCGTTCACTCTGACACAAACCCCACAAATTTCCAACAATTTCTGATAACAAACAAGGGTAAGCCCTCTCTAACTCCCTCAAACACTCACAAGCCACGGACCGGGTCTGCCGGTCCGGTCCATGGTTAGGCCGGTTCACGACCATCAACAAGAGCTCAGTCAAGCTCTCTAGCTGTGGAATATGAAGCAATTCATCATCATCATCATCAATTCTTAGGGTTATAAAAACAGAAGATGTGGAGACCATCATTTGCTCTTTCAAAGCAAAGGTCACCGAGACTCCATCGATTGGGGCTTGGATTAGGACTCTTAGGGTTTCGAGGAGTCGAGTGAGGACTTCTGAGTCTGACTCGGAGTCAGAGAAGTGGGTTTCGAGGAAGATAATGAGGTGGAGCTTGAGATTGAGAGGGAAGTCTTTGCGGAGAATTGTAGAGAGAGAGAGTTCGAGAAGAGAGAGACCTGAATAGTTGGAGGAGGTCCAGCGATGGAGGCGAGAGCCGCCGTGGTGGAAGTCGTCGATCAGAGCCTCCCATTCGAGGGTTGAGAGAGGCTTCAATGGCGGAGCCTTCTCCATTCTCAGAAGCTCATCATCGTCGTCGTCATCAATGGTGGTTTTTTGGAGATTGATGAAACCCTAATGAGCGATTTGGAGAAATCTGGTTCGATTGATCGGAGATGGAGGAAGAGAGAGTGGTGTTTTTCTCCGACGAGGCGGTGTTTGGAATGAGTTTTTATTTTTAATTTAGGGACAAACAAACACGACTTTACATTGAGGGCAGTATTTTTCAGTTTTGATTTGTTGCTTTTGCACATTCCTCACGAGAGGTTCATATGACAGAGTGGGGGCTCTGAAAAATCTCAAATTTGACTACCCAATTTTATGGGAAAAAAACTCGTGAGATGCACCTTTAAAAAAAATAAATAAATTATACAAATCAAAATGATTAATATGGGTTAGTTTAGGAGGTTCTAAATAAGAGTATTTTTTTAATTTTTATAAAAAAAATTATGTAAAAAAATAAAGAAAAGATATTGTTTGATATGATCAAAATAAGTACATTTATGCAACCAAAAAAAAAAAAATACATTTATATAATTTAACTTAAACCAGGCTTAAGTATACTTAGTCTCCGTTTGGGAAGTGGGTTGGCTTTTTGGCTTTTTGGTTTTTTGGCTATTTTAGCCTGGGCTATTTTAGCCTGGTTTGGGAAGGGCTTTTTGGCTTTTTGACTTTTTTGACTTTTTTGTGAGAGATGATTGTAATGATTATGAGTTGGATTTGATGTTTTGTTTTTTGTGGCTAAAATAGCCTATTTTGTTTTTTGTGGCTATTTTAGCCAAAAAAACCTGGGCTTTTTCTTCCCAAACAGAGGCTAAAAGTTTATTCTTATAGAGAGTCCTATGTTATTTAAGAGTTGTTTGGGAATGTATTAAATAAGTATAATTATTTAGGTTACATTATTTTTTTATTTTTTTATATCTTTTTGTAAAAAAAGTTAAAAAATACACTAAATAAACCAACCACAAATAATCTCTTAGTTTACTATTTTTTGTAATATAAATACACGTTGAAAAGTCATCGGCATTAGAAAAATCACAAATAGCTAGTGTTGTGAGGTGAGCAGATAGATGATACGTGTACAAATAAGTATGCATGCAACTGTGACGGGTTGAAAGATTGTCTAAAACCAACGCAAGTTGTGCAGAGAGCTATCCAGACCTATCCAAACCAGAATTGTACCCCATGGTTGTCCTCGACTTAACTTAGGCCTGAGTTGCGTTTTTTTTTTTTTGTTGTAGCTAAGTTAATTAATTTATTAAAATTAGACTCTATTAATATTTTTTTTATATAAAATCATTAATAATATCAAATCAAATAATTATATACTATGAAAGATAAGAATTAAAGAATCGATGTGTTTGTTACGATCCAAACCTGATATTCGGAGGTTTGGTGTCGCAATAAGACAAAAATTGAAATCATAACAAATTAATAGACCATCATTTGCTCTTTCAAAGCAAAGGTCACCGAGACTCCATCGATTGGGGCTTGGATTAGGACTCTTAGGGTTTCGAGGAGTCGAGTGAGGACTTCTGAGTCTGACTCGGAGTCAGAGAAGTGGGTTTCGAGGAAGATAATGAGGTGGAGCTTGAGATTGAGAGGGAAGTCTTTGCGGAGAATTGTAGAGAGAGAGAGTTCGAGAAGAGAGAGACCTGAATAGTTGGAGGAGGTCCAGCGATGGAGGCGAGAGCCGCCGTGGTGGAAGTCGTCGATCAGAGCCTCCCATTCGAGGGTTGAGAGAGGCTTCAATGGCGGAGCCTTCTCCATTCTCAGAAGCTCATCATCGTCGTCGTCATCAATGGTGGTTTTTTGGAGATTGATGAAACCCTAATGAGCGATTTGGAGAAATCTGGTTCGATTGATCGGAGATGGAGGAAGAGAGAGTGGTGTTTTTCTCCGACGAGGCGGTGTTTGGAATGAGTTTTTATTTTTAATTTAGGGACAAACAAACACGACTTTACATTGAGGGCAGTATTTTTCAGTTTTGATTTGTTGCTTTTGCACATTCCTCACGAGAGGTTCATATGACAGAGTGGGGGCTCTGAAAAATCTCAAATTTGACTACCCAATTTTATGGGAAAAAAACTCGTGAGATGCACCTTTAAAAAAAATAAATAAATTATACAAATCAAAATGATTAATATGGGTTAGTTTAGGAGGTTCTAAATAAGAGTATTTTTTTAATTTTTATAAAAAAAATTATGTAAAAAAATAAAGAAAAGATATTGTTTGATATGATCAAAATAAGTACATTTATGCAACCAAAAAAAAAAAAAAATTACACCTATATAATTTAACTTAAACCAGGCTTAAGTATACTTAAAAGTTTATTCTTATGGAGAGTCCTATGTTATTTAAGAGTTGTTTGGGAATGTATTAAATAAGTATAATTATTTAGGTTACATTATTTTTTTATTTTTTTATATCTTTTTGTAAAAAAAGTTAAAAAATACACTAAATAAACCAACCACAAATAATCTCTTAGTTTACTATTTTTTGTAATATAAATACACGTTGAAAAGTCATCGGCATTAGAAAAATCACAAATAGCTAGTGTTGTGAGGTGAGCAGATAGATGATACGTGTACAAATAAGTATGCATGCAACTGTGACGGGTTGAAAGATTGTCTAAAACCAACGCAAGTTGTGCAGAGAGCTATCCAGACCTATCCAAACCAGAATTGTACCCCATGGTTGTCCTCGACTTAACTTAGGCCTTGTTGCAGCTAAGTTAATTAATTTATTAAAATTAGACTCTATTAATATTTTTTTTATATAAAATCATTAATAATATCAAATCAAATAATTTATATACTATGAATGATAAGAATTAAAGAATCGATGTGTTTGTTACGATCCAAACCTGATATTCGGAGGTTTGGTGTCACAATAAGACAAAAATTGAAATCATAACAAATTAATAGTGTAGCGGAGTAAAAAAAAATGGTACCCAAATCTTAATTTAATGGGTAAATTACACTGATACCCCTGATGTTTATGTTTATTACAGTTCCCTTCCTCACATTTGGGAAATTACATTGACTTCCCTTGTCGGTGTAATTATTTGATGGTGTTAACTTTTAAGTTAAAATGACATATTTACCATTAACATTTACATATACTTTAAAGGGTAAATTACATTGACACCCCCTGAGGTTTCAATTTAATGCGGATCCCCCCTGATATTTAAAAAAAAATAAAATAACAATTTAATAAAAATAAATATGAAGAAATATATTTAATTTGTAAAAAAATATTTCTAACCACTCGAAAGAGAAAAATTATATAAAAATGATAATTATTTTTATTTTTTATTTCTTAACCAAATTAATTTTTAATTTTTTAAAAAAAAATTCTAAAAATCAAACCATACATAGCCTAAGAATCTTTTAATAAGTCATTTCTTACGTTGGTAACTTATTTAATTATTTGTTAATTCTATGACATTTTTACCACTGAGACCTATTTGGTAACCATTTAGTTTTCAGTTTTCAATTTATATTTACAAAAATTTAAAAAATTGTTATAAAAACTTGTTTGATAATTTTTTTGGTTTATAAATGGTTGTCATAGTTTGTAAATTTGAGGAAAAAACGTAAATTTAAAAAATAGTTTTTAAACAGAAATTTAAAAATTTGACTAACAAATTTTTTTTTTCAAATAATTTTTTTTCCAATGAATTTATTTTTCAACTGATACTAACCGAGAGGGCAATTGGTAATGCTACTTTAAACCTTGGGGAGGAGATTATAATTTCTAAAATGTGAGGGGTGTCAATGTAATTTACCCGATGAGGGCAAAATTGGTATTTAAAAATATTAAATTGCTAACATCAGCAAAATCTGTTTGTTGACTTAACAGTCAACTAACTGAGGGAGTAATCTGTAATGAAACTTTAAATCTCAAAGATGAGATGTAATTTCCAAAAGGTGGGGGAAGAACTGTAACAAACATAAAGCTCAGGGGGTGTCAATGTAATTTACCCTTAAAAATTATTAAATTGATGACATTAGCAAAATCTGTTAGTTGACTTAACAATCAACTAACTGATGGAGCAATCTATAATGAAATTTTAAACCTCAGGGAGGGGATGTAATTTTCAAAAGGTGATGGGGAAACTGTAATAAACATAAATCTCAGAGGGTGTCAATGTAATTTACCCTAATTTAATTATAACAAATATATATATATATATATATTGGAGTTTCTATTCATTTACATTACCATAGCTGAACTATGACTACAAAATGTCTTATATCTATCCTACACAGTTTGACACATCATTTGAAAGTGGTTAACAACTATAAGCACATGGCAGAATAAGAAATATTATATTAAAAGTATAAGGGTATAAAAATCATTATGGATAATTATTTGGCTAAACAGAGTTTAGTTTAATATTAAAATATAGAGTATATAATACGAAAATCATTTTAAATAACAGAAGCATAACGCATAAATTATACAAGTAAATAATCATAACCATAGTACAAAACAGAACGGGTGTACAGACCCAAGCGATAGCTCGTACAAATTTTAGAGGTGACTTCCACAATAATGTAACATTTAGCTTCGTACAACACTTTACTCCACACTAGAAATCAGAGGATCAGTGGATTTATGACAACAGAGGGTAACTTAGAGTAACGCATAACAGAATAGAGGTTCACATAAAGTGACAATACATAGGGCCAATGGTTATTTAAGTCCCCTAAGGCATGAGATCTCGTGTTGGTACTTATAAAACAATTATCGAAATACATTTAATAAACAGTTATATTCATAGGTCTTCTTTTTAAGCAAATAGGGTTTTAGTTAACAAAAATAATATACCTTCAAAACTAATATAATTTGCATAACATATTTTTTATAAAATAGTTTATAGTAACTCAAAATATAATAAAACTCACATTAAAATTGATCATTTACTATTATTTCTTATTTTGACTCACTCTCTCACATACTCTTCATTTGTTATTCTTGTGATTTCATTACTATACAACTCACCTTTTTATAAGTGAGAAGGCCCTTATTATGCAGCACTGTGCAGTACACCACGTGATATCACATGACACCACGTTTCTCATGAGGTTTGTTGAAGCACTATGCACAAGTTATTTATATTCTACTATGACTCAATAAATATTATAATTACATTTTTTTTTCAAAAATTAAATAAATATATTTCAGAGTGTCACAGTGTTGTTATGACGTTTTTACAATTTATAAATGAAAAAAAAATATAAGGTTTTGTATTGTATCACTTGTATATATAATTATATTTAATATGATCTAATGATTTAAATTATTTTAACATTATCAAACAACTAATAATTTTTATGCATATTTAATATTTTTCTATATTTATATATTTATAATTCGAGATGTCGAGTTATTTGGCATCTTTATCCAAGTCCGCCCAAGGTTAATTCAGACTTTCTAAATTTTTGTCCAAACCTACACCGAATTTAAAAGTGTTTTGCAAAAGCCCTAAAAAAAATAAAGTGGGACTTGAGTTAAGCTCAACCAAGTTGCATCCTACAAATAGGTAGACATTTGAATAGATAGTTAGACACATAGACGACACGTATACAAATAAATGATATTTAAACAGATAGATAAATAACTAAATTTTGAATAGATAGATGTTCTTTTGAATAAATAAATATCATTTTGGTTCCAAAAAAAAAATTATACTTGGACTATTGGACTAACAATTTTGGATCTCTAGCCTATTAAAAATAAAATAAATTGAAAATAAATTATGGAAAAAGCTAAAAACAATAATATTGGGATGTTTATAATTCTCAATTCCCTTTTTTTTTTCCAAGTATTTTTTAGTCAATTTCCATCCCTAAAAAGGGGTGTTATTTATCTTTTTACCTTTTTAGATTCATTTACGAATTACTGTTAATTTTAAATTATTTGAATAATTATGATAAAAATGTGAATAGCTATTTCGTTTTTTTAATTGAATGTAGTAAAAAGGAAAATGTTTCGTAGCTCAAATTTTGTGGCTTAAAAGTGACTCAAATGGTCAAAACGACGTCGTTTTAGCCATTTTTATATTGTTCTGTACTCAAAACGACGTTGTTTTGGCCATTTGAACCATTTTTGAGTCACAAAATTTGAGTTACGTAGCATTGTCGGTAGTAAAAACCATTGTCAGCCACATTTGTTTATTAATTTCGTAAAGTAGAGTAGCATACTTTTTTTTTTTTTTTTGGGAACGCAAGTAGAGTAGCATATTGAGAATATTCTTTTTGATCCCAAAATGAAAAAGGAAAAAATTGGAGGGAAAAAATAAAGGAAGAAGGAAAAAGTAAAAAGTAAAAGAAATACTGCCTTATATTGGGTTCGATTGGAAAGAATTTTTTTAGTTTAATTTTTTGATTTTTTATAAAAAAAAATTGAAATAATTATAATTTGAATGTGTCATTTTATCTTATTAATTTTTTTAGCATATTTGATCTTTTTTTTTTACTTTTTTTTTGTCCCCATCCACTTGCCAAACGACGACAAAGTCATGTTTAGTAATTAGTGTTGGAAAAAAATAGTTTTTTGGTGATTTTAATGTGAAATTAAAGTAGGTCCTAACCATTGGTTGACGTGACATTAAATGAGTTTAGATTCTTTGTAATAAGATCTTTACACTACAAAAAGAATGACAAAAACCATTAAGAATTAAATCAGAAATTGTCTCATAAAGTTGGCCTCATAAATGAGGTATTGAAAATTGTATATAACTACCAATTCCACATTGATTGTAGAGGAAAACTTTGATAGGCATTTAAATCTCAAGATTATGAGAAGGGCATGAACCCTTTGAGGCATCCAAATTTTCCGAAGAAAGAGAGGCATGGTGTAGACTGCCCGGAACTCGTTCCGCACGTGATGGCATGAATTGGGTTCATAGCTACTACAGTTCGGACTCCTTTCACGGTTCTGAATCTAATCTCACAAAGTGCAATGTGAGACTGATAAATCACCAAAGAGTCTACATTCGGCAAATTGTTTTAGAAAATCGATTTTGAATCAAAAAGTGCCAAACATGG